ATGGTTGTATCCTAAGTTCGAGACCACGCAGGCTCCAAGTGAGTATGCAGCCAGCCTGAGCCACACAGGTAGACTCCATCATTAAAAAAAGATGACAATTGTTTTAAAACTTTGTTCCTTTATCCTTAATTCTTCAAAAAGAAAAAGATGCCCTTTAAAAAAATTAATGTGGCTCTACAGAGAATACTTTTTATCTGCTATGAAAAGGCCATTTTAAAGGTAAAACCAAACTGGTAGTTTAGAACCTAAATTTAAGATCTTCATAATGAGTTTCAATCTATAGCACAGTATTAGAAGATTTTTAGGGAAATAAAGGAACTGGAATAAATCTGACTTACCCGAAAAAGAGCCAAGCACAAGAGTAAGTAACGTTATATACAGACATGACTTTGAAATGCCCATTAAGGGAAATCCAAACCAATACAACACATACGGCAAAGGAAATCTTATTTGTTTTAAACCTCAAGTCAATTTTCCTTTAGTAACTCACAAGAAAGGCTAGATGTTAAGAGATTGGGTCTAAGTTAAACTGGGGTTTCAAAATATAAACATTGATTGTTTATATTGTCTGTTGGGCCTCACTTTTAATAATTAAGAACTGGCCCTTCTGTTCCTGGTTTCATACTATATCCCAGAGTCTTCTACGTTAATTCCCCAGAAAAGTAAAGGAATTAGGGAAGAGGCAAGTCTTTGAAGAGTCACCAATATCTTATCAAGTGTCAACTTCCTTCATGGGAAAACTAGTACACAAATTTTAGTTTCTATTGGAACTGACAAATAGCCACTTACCAAGCAAAAAGAAAAGGCTCTTCTCAATAAGCCAAACTACTGGACATTGCAAGTCAACTACAGAGTTAGGTACCAATAGCCCCACGAGCTCTCAACTTTTAAAGGGCCTGTATCTCCCAAAATTCACTTAGGGTTCCTTGGAGCCCAGAGGACATTTTGAAAACAACAGCAAAATTTCTGTTCTCCTCAATTACTTAAAATAAAGAAGGTTCCTAAGCCTACTTATCTGTTAGAACTCTTCTCAACAACTGAATGAAAAAGCAAACAGAGGTCCCTATATTCAATTCCAATTCCAATCCTAACTAATTAAATCCTAGGTGCTTAGCTTAGCTTTGAACTCAGGATTTTCAGATGAGGCCAGAGCAAAGAAATGCACTTTTCTGAATACATTATCACAGAAGGAAAGGATCTTATTTCATAAAATTAAGTGTGAAGGTCCTGCGTTTCAAGAATTGGTTGCATTCCATTTGCCTTTTATGAGTTTTTTTTCTCTTTCTGTCCATATGATTGAGATCCCCTCTACTTCCTGGAAAGGTAAAATGAGGCTGGATGGTAAAACCTTGTCCTTGAGCTAGTTAGCCATTACACCTGACAAAGATAATGAACAATTTTTTTCAAGCTCTGATAATATTTGTCACTATCATGTTCTCATGTGTATATGGAAGCTAAAACATTTCAAAAAAGTAGAAAGGAATGTAGCTCAGTTGGTAGGGTTCTTGTCTAAGATGCACAAAGCCCTGAGTTAGAACCCCAGCACCCTATAAATTTGGCATGGTGGCACAGACCTGTAATCCCAGCACTTAGTAGGTAGAGGCAAGAGAGTTAGAAGAAGTTCAAGGCCTGTCTCTACTATAAAGTTTGAGGCTACCCTGGGGTACATTAGACCCTATCTTGGAAAAAAAAAATTGAAAGTAGAAAATGTAATACTGGTTACCAGAGCCAGGGAAGGGGTGGAAGAGAAACAAAAAGACGGCTCACAGGTAAGTGGTACAGTGAGATGGAAGGAGTAACATCTAATGTTTTATTTACAGCATAGTACAACAGCTATGATTAACAGCAATTAACTAGTATTTCAAACTAGCTAGCAGAGAGAATTCTAAATGTTCTCAACACAAAGAAATGACAAATGTCCACGTGGTGTACATGCCAGGTACCCCAATATCACTGTGTGCCATAAATATGTACCATTGAATGTATTAATTAAAATTTTAAAACATTTTTTAAAATTTGCCAATATCAATAGTAAATATTCTTTCATTAAACACCACCATTCTGGAAGGAAAACATGAAATAACCAAGGTCATGGGGACACAAAGCAATGGATCTATACTTCTAGGCTCCTTTATAAAGAGAATACAGGCATATGCATGCTCTCCCTCTAAAGAGGGTACTTAGGGTTCCACTCTTGATGTCTTTAAAATGTAAAAACAAAAGGAATGAATGAAAGCAGAGCAATTCCATTATAATCACTCAAGGGGGTGACTCCCAATTCCTAACTGCTGTTTTCTCCAACATGCTCCACACCTTCAAAAACACTTGTACCTAGGCAATAGGATAAAATTTGCAAACAGCTAGGCTGAGGTTAACTGCACTTTATAGAAATAGGGGTAACATTTCTGTTCTTTATAATATGGTTATCTCTTTAAATATGACTGAGTTGACTTATTAAAAAAGCAACAAATTTTTAAATCTTTGGGTTTTAGGGGGAAAATTTTTAAGTTTATAAAGTTGAGTTTTCCTTATACAGTTTAGGAAAGCTAAAGCAGAGCTCCTAAACCATGTAAGCTCTATAAGGAAAAATTTACCCATGAAAATAAAGGAACCACCACGTCTACTCAGTGTTTGGCACACAGTCATTTCATATCTATGTGACACAAACCTGAAAGGTGCATTTGCCAGCATAACAGGAGCTAGTCAGCCCTCTCAGCTTCTACTCCGCTTCTGCTTCATCACTAATTGGATCCTTGATTCCCAAATTTTATGGAGTTTTAGAACCACCTAGAAATTTTGAAAGGCAAGTTCTTTGACTACCCTTGCCCCATAATTTATAGGTCTAGAAGCGGGATCTTGCATGTTTATAATGCACCACTCAAGTGACTCTGAGTTGGGAGATCAGAATATTGGTTAACCTTCATGATTAAAAGAAATCTGTATTACAAAATATTAATTAGAGAGCAGAAGAATTGACTATTTCTAACCTAAATTATAAATTACTCAGCGCTCTTAATTAATCACAGTTCACTTATATACAATGGGCAAGATAAAATGTAAATGAAATAACTTGTACTTTGACAAAGCAAACCACTCAAACCATATACTTTTGTGAAATATTCCAGCAGTTAATGCTAATGTTAAAAAACAGCAGAACCCTGGGCTGGAGAGATGGCTCAGCAGTTAAGAACACTAGGTGTTCTAGCAGAAGACCCAGGTTCGAATCCCATCATCCCCACGGCAGCTAACAACTGTCTGTAACTCCAGTTCCAGGGGATCTGACGCCCTCTTCTGACTTCCTCGGGCATTGCACGACACAGGTACACTTACATACATGCAGGCAACACAGGACACACATAAATTTTTTTTTTTAATTAAAAAAAAAGAAGCCGGGCGTGGTGGTGTATGGCCTTTAATCCCAGCACTCAGGAGGCAGAGGCAGGTGGATCTCTGTGAGTTCAAGGCCAGAATTAGAGCATTACAAAGGACTATAGGAATCAGTGACCAAGTTATCTGAAACAGATTGAAAGTCTCGAAACCTGTCTCAAAAACACATTAAAAATATACATATATATAGAGAGAGAAAGAGAGAGAGAGAGAGAAAGAGAGAGAGAGAAGGAACCAAGCAAAGGACTGCAAACAGAATCACTTAACATACTTGTGTAGTAATTTTAGAGGGAAGAGAGAAAACACTGACTATGCTGTCAATATGGGAACCATTTGTGCCTACTTAAGATTAAATAAAACTTAAAATTCAATTCCTCTTTGTGCTATTTTTACCATATTTTAACTGCTCAACAGCCATGTGAACTAGTGGTAACATTGGATAGGCTAGAAAGACAGCATCACAAACATTGGATAGTGCTAGTCTAGAGGAAGCAGATAAAAAATGTAAAGAGGTTCTCTTGAATGGGTAGGCTCTCTATTTGGTAATTTCTAATTTTACAAGTATACATCAACGTTAGGTATTAACTGTAAAAGAACCCTACTATAATTTTTCTGCACCTTGTTTCAAGAAAGGTCATTCAAAATTGACAAGCTTATTTATCTTACAGCAAAACAGAAAATGTTAATTAACAAAATTTAAAAGGATCAAAGGAACTAAAACCACAGCCAGGTTTTCACCAAATCGGAATCAATTAAAAGTAATTCCTAGAAAACAAAGTAATGGTACAATAAGACCAGTCCCAAACAAGATTAACCTATGTAATACTATTGGGTTTTTAAAGAACTTTAGATGGATTGAATCTAATTATATACATAGCAAATAACAACTGCTTCTATAATTGGGTTAAAAATAACTTGGTTACAATTAGTTCAATTAGTGACATTTTATTATCTACATTTTAATTGCTTTCCACCAACCTCAAACTAAACATAATAAACTAAATAATACAATGACCATAAAACTTAAAATGTTATAAAGGACTATTAAGTCATAACCCTAGCAAATCCTGAGTATAGCAAAAAATAGACAAAAGTTAATGGAACAATTCGCAAGTTAAACTTCTACCTTAACTACAACCACATCTAATTTAAAACAACTCTACAATAAAGCAAAGACTTGGGAGACAGCACCCTGAGGCCTGAGAACTAACTTCGGATGAAAAGGACACCTGTGACAGCGCTTCAGCAGACTCACGATGGATTAACTCAAGTTAAACCGACCTGCCCTCAAGAAGAGCTAAACATCATCTTGATTAGTGATCTTTCTGAAAAGTTCAAGTGTACTCATACAATCTCTGTAACTGTGGCTCTACACAGAAAATTCTGCTGTATGAAAGAATTTAAGTTATTTCACAAATTTAACACATAAAACCAAATAAACAGGTCACACTGACTGCTCTAGTTATGGTTGTTGGTGTAATATTGCAACTCAGTTTTGATTCCTTCCAAGTACATTTATCTCAGAGATGTGTATCAAACCTAGAAGTGAGCTGAAAGCAGTAACTCATTAAGTAATCACTACTAACTGGTTAAAAGGAAAAGACATAGCTTACCTGCAACACTAGTGATTGTGACTGGAACTCCCTGAACTTGAACGCCTGCAGCACCCAGGTTGGCAACACTCACTGTCTGAAGGTTAGGCACTGAAGCAAGCTGGGCAGTATTCAAAGTTATTGGGGCACCAGCCACAGCAACAGGAGCAATCTGAGCAAGAGTCGTGCCACCACTTGAAGACACAGGGGTGATGGTTAACTGTTGGGATAACCCAGCGTTCTGAACTTGCAAATTTGAAAGACTCTGAATATTCTGAACCTGTACAGTTTGCCAGCTGATTTGCCCTGAAGGTGTTAAAGTTGGAGCCCTGATAAGCACCTGAGTCGGATTTACTGCTTGAAGTTGGACATTCTGCAAAGACTGCTGCTGGATGGTCTGAATTGTCTGCCCTGACTGGAGTTGAAATGACTGTGGTGGAATAGCCTGAATAATCTGTTGTTGAGGCTGTTGGATCTGGATCTGTTGCAAGATAGGCTGGCCTACAATTTGCACTTGCTGAAGAGAATTTGATTGATCCTGTGCATTCTGTATTCCATTAGGCTGAAGCTGACTGGAACTCTGGGCTTCAGACTCTGTAGCAGCAGGTGTTTGTGATTCTTCAATGGTGCGTTCGGAACTACTGGCTGATGTGCTCGCGTACTGGCCTGTATCTGCTGAGCTCACTAACGTGTCACTGCTCGTCAGAGATGTTGAAGCCGTGGTTGTGCAGGTAGTGGAGGAGGAGGGAGATTCAGGCATGGTGCTGGCAGAAGCAGTGGTGGTGGTGGGTGTGGAAACGAGCTGACCCCCATTGGATGTCCCACTGTCAGTGGTAGCAGCAGGCTGCCCAGCCTGTCCAGTCCCTCCTCCCGCAGTCACGTTGTTTATCACTGGCAAAGCTAAAGTCACTCCTCCAATGTTAATGGGTAGGGTTGTGACAACTTGAGCCTGAGTACCAGGAAGGGTCTGCAACTGCAATGGTATTGAAACACCAGGTCTAATTTGGACTGGAACTGTCTGGTTTGCCAGATTTTGAGCAAGAATATTCCCAGAAGCTGTCCTGTTAGCAGCTGTGAGTATAGCTTGATTATTACCTGCAGAAATTAGCTGAATTTGACCCTGCAAATCCTGGAGAGATGAATTACTAGTTGGGTTGATTTGAATTTGCTGACCTTCCACTGTCTGAAGCTGTGGAATCACTTGGTATTGTACACTACCACTTGGATTCTGCACTTGGATGACTTGGAACTGACCAGGACTGGAAGAGTTAGCGGGTTTAGTTTTTGTAGGAGAGGAGCTCCCGTTATTACTGTTGGAAGAACTAGATGAACTAGAAGTCGGTTGAGAAACACTGTTTTCTTTAGGAGCAGGAGGAGTGGAGGCAACGAGCTGCCAAGCGTTTCCAGTGAGTTGTGTTGTTACCAGTTCTAGCTGTTGTGGCTGATTTTGAAGTTGCACCAACCCTTGGCTTGGATCTATAATAATCTGCTGCTGTCCAGTTGCTTGATTTTCACCAGGAGTCCCTATTTTGCTGCAAGTAGCTGCCAGTAAAGCCAGAGGAGAGGGCTGAGAGTCCTACCCAAAATGGGAGGGAAAGGAGAGGGAGGGAAAAAAGTGGGTGTATTTAGTGGAAGACAGTAGTTGGGAGAGGGCTATTTATTTTGAGAGCTCTACACATCAGAACATACTCAACAAGCAGCAGAAATAAAAATGAAATATGAACAAAGGTAGAAGTCATGTGAATAAGGAAGCAGGTCCTATTATGTGAAGTTTACATAAAAAGAACAATTCTGACAAACTTTTCTAAAGTGTTATTCTTGTAAACTCAAAAGGCCCTCAGGAAAATAGATAACTGTTTCCTGACCATCTGAATTCCTAATGTAATTTTAAACAACGTTATACCCTCAACTATGGGAAATAATGAATTTACAATTTAAGTTCCTCACTCAGAAAGATGCTTTGAGTGGAGAAGCAAGCATTTTTCATTCAGTTCTTTACTTCTGGGTATTTAAAGGGCATAACTCCCTCTCTCCCCTAAGGCTTCGTGTTGAATTTCTTTTTAACATTTGCTTTTACCTGGGAGCCTGAGGGTTTGGGTTTTTTATTGTTATTCTCTGGCTCAGAGGTTTTCCCTCCTTCTGTAGCCATCGCCGCTGCCGCCTCCTCCTCCTCCTCCTTCTTCTGATCTGCAACAACCCCCCCAACGTACACGACAACAGGTTATTAGGATTATTATTATTCGTTCTCCCCCCCTCTTCTCCCCCCGCCCCCTGAACATTAATCTCCATAAACCCGCGACCGGTGCAGACCGACAGGGGGTGGGGGAGAAGGAGGGGAAGGAGGAGGGGGATCTCACAAAACGTGGTTTGAAACCCGACCCATAGGCTCCAGAGCAACACCCAGAAGGAGGTTGTTCTAGCTCAGACATTAAGACAAAACACAGCCCTCCTTCCCTCCCCCTGATTCCCTCCCGCCCTCTCCTCCTCCCCTTCCAGCATCTCAGCGGCCCCGGGGGAGGGGGAAGCGAGCAGGGTCTGGGGAGGGAGGGACGGAGGGAGGTGGCGAAGGAGACCGAGGGGGGTGGAGAATACGTACCGCTCATCCCGCATTAACAGGACAAACCCTCACTGAGACACTGGGATAGAGGTGGGTGGGGGTGGGGGCGAGGCGGGAGGAGAGGCCGGTCCCGCCCGCCCGCGGTGGCTCGGAGGAGGCTGTAGCTGGCACAGGCTCTGCCTCTTTTTCCGCGAATGGCCGCCGCTGGGCTGTGGCGTAGCAGCTCCTCTCTCCGCCCGAGCCCGGCTGACTCGCCCTTGATTGACAGCGGCGGCGCGCGGCGCGGGCGGTGGCGCGGGCCGGAGGCGGAGCCAGGGCGGTGCGAGCGCGGCAGACTCCCCACCCCCCTCGTCCTGCCTCCGCCGGCGCCGCCGACTCTCCACCCCTTCCCCCAGCGGATTGGCCGCCGACCTGCCGGGGGCCGGGGCGCTGGGGCCGCCCCTTCTCCACCCCTTTCCCGGGCTGGTGCTCCCAGGCGCACCGCTTCTAGTCCCGCAGCTCCTCGAGCGTTCGCTTTCCGTGTGCTAGCTTCGGCGCGCGGTCGCTAGGCCCTCCATACAGCCAAACTTGTTGTCTCAGGATATCCCGCCCCCTACTCATCTCCCGGCGCCCGCCACTCAAAAGCCCGCGCTACCATCCCTGCGAATGGCCACGGGAGAAGAAAAGTAGGGCTGCCGCACAAGGTGGGCGAGCGGAGCCCCGCAAATTGCCGAGAGCTCTGCGCGCCAGGTGGACTGCCCGCGGCCCGCACGCCGCAACCATGGCTTTCCTGAGGCGCATCCGGACCCGGGCGCCCTTTTTCTCTGGCTCGGCTGCCATTGGCTGAGGGCCTGCTGACGCGCGCTGAGTGGTGGGAGAAAGCGGGCGGGCCGCCGCCGCAAAGGCTCTCGGGCCTTGTAGTTTCCATGGAAGCCTCTGCGCCGGAGGCCTCTGCGAGGCACCGCCTTCCTCCCGCCCCCGAGCGCGGTGGGCCTGCCGAGCGGAAAGCTGCCGGAGGGGGCGGTGGCGGCAGGGCGTGGCCGGAGCCGAGTGGGAGTTGAACCCAGCGCGGGGGAGGGGGAATGGGTGTTGTTTGCCTGGGCCTATCGGCCGCGCGGGGCTGCCTGAACCGCCTCTGCCGCCGCCTCCTCGGCTTCAAGCCGCTCCCCGCGGGGCGAGCTCACACCCGGCGTGCTGGGTGGTGGAGCTGGCGGCGAGGTGGGGAGGCGGGGTCTGCTGTCCTCCGGGTTTGAATGGAGCAGGCTTCGGGAGCAGCCCCATCATTCTGCCTCTCTTTGCTCACTTTCCTCGCCCAGGCCCCCGATCCTAGCGCGTGGCCTGTACTCCAGCAGAATAGGAGCTTCCATTTTTGTTTTCTCTTTTCTGGGCTGATGGTGCAGAGCAGTGATCGCCTCTGGGGTTGCTACGTGTGTCCCAAAGAGTCCGCTTAGTTAGCTGGCTTCTCGCTCCTAGGGGTCTCACAGTGTTGTGCCGGTCAAGGCAGTCCGGCTGCATGTGGGTCAGCAGTGCTCACTGTTTTAGCATAAGCTTCTGAGCAAGTGGAATTCGTCTAGCTGTACAAAGCATTTTACCAAATGGCTCCGAGACAGGCCCCCAGTTACTTTCCAAAGACACGAAGTCACGATGCTAGGGACTGTACCAGCTCCTGATGAAGTGTTCCAAAGTTGGAAGTTAATCCCTGACACGAATATTGGCCTTAAGACAGAACACCCTTACACATCCGCTTTGATGTGTGCTCCACATGCACAACCTTGGGTGTATTTGTCTTCTACCTGAGGTCCGACTTGTTGCAAGTGTGAGTGAGGAGGTCTTAGATGTTCCCAATAGGTGTTTCCTTTGCTTGTTCAAGTATGACATAGGCTGATGACAAGCCAGCCTTGCAGCAAGGCAAAGTAAGCCGAATAAGGAATTATAATATTGCCTACTCCATCTTATAAAATTGAGGTGAAAGTTCTTAAATAACCTTACTTCCAAACACCCTCCCCCCAATGCACATAATCTTAGAAAGCTTAGCAGTGCTTCTTGGCCAAGTGAGGTGGCACTGACCTTTAATCCCAGCACTCTAGAGGCAGAGACAGGTGGATCTCCAAGTTCCAGGCCAGGAGGGTCTACATACATAATTCCAGGCCAACCAGGGTTATATAGTGAGACCTTGTCTTCTCGATAAATAAAAAGGGTATTTTAGCACTCCTGTTGATGGAAAACCAGTTCTATGGAAATTTTTTTTCTTTTTTTTTCTTTTTGAGACAGGGTCTCCCTGCAGCCCCAGCTGTCCTGGAACTCACTATGTAGACCAGGCTGGCCTTGAACTTACAGTGATCCGCCTGCCTCTGCCTCTTGAGTGCTGGGATTAAAGGCATGTGAAACAACACCCAGCCAGAAATAATTTTTAACAAAGATTCTCCTTTGACCTAATTTGAATCATTCTCTTTGGAATCTTGCTTCTGACTGTTGAATCTAGCAGTGTTGCTTGCTTAGTCCAGTTTTAAGAAGAGTCATGCTTAGTGACAGTCCCCCACCCTTGCATATGACAGTTCTTGATATCTGACCAAGTTCACTACCTTACCATCACCCTTCAATGACAATCCTGTCAAATGGGGTTAACCGGCACCCCATTCTACCCTGGAGGTTTTCTATCCACTGACCCCATTGTGTTCCTTGACTACAGAGCTCTACTTGCCCTTGTTCTAGTCACAGTTGATCTGGATCTCTTCCTCACCACTGACCTGGTACAGGGGTCTCCGTAGGTTTTCCTTGAATAAAATTTTATTATCTAAGTAAGAAGCCTTTTAAAAAAAATTATTTTTATTTTATGTGTGTGAGTGTTATGCCAGCACTGTATGGCAGTGATGTAAGTGCACCTGTGTCATGCAATGCCCTCAGAGGAAGGAAGAGGTTGTCGGATACCTGGAACTGGAGTTACGGACAGTTGTTAGCTGCCATGTGGCTGCTGGGATTCAAACCCCAGTCTTCTGCAAGAACAGTCAGTGTTCTTAACCACTGAGCCAGCTCTCCAGCCCCTGAAGCCTTTTATTTTTTTCACAAGTATCATGAGTAATTTCTTTTTCCTTTAACAGTATAAAATTCAACAAAATCTTCAACCTCAGGCCCACCAGGATGATCTTTTCTCCGATGGAAGAAGTTAATCTGAAAAGGTTTCTTCCTGCAATCATATTGCTCTTTGAAGCAATATTGCTCATTTCTGATTCACAGAGATAAATATATATTTTTATTGCAACTTGGTATGGGCACAGACCCAGAGGAAATCACTTTTTGTATTCTACATGTTTACCAACACTGTACACAAAGTTCTCAATCAAACCCTGTCCAGCAGGACCTCAGGGCTCCCTGCCGTACATTACCTGGTAACTGTAGGGTGGACAGCTCCAGAGGGAGGCAAAATAATATCAAGGAAAAGTAGGGGACTTAAATGCTAGTTAACGTCTAGCAGAACAGTTTAGAAACATCAATGTGTATCAGTTTGAATAGCAACCAACACTTTTAGCTGGAAAAGTATCAAGCTAAAAATAGTCTTCCAATATATGGGTCCTCCCCATCCTTTCATGAGTTTGTTAAAAACAGTGCCCTGTTGGCTTCTCCTCTCACCAATCCCTCCATTTTGGAGGGGTACAAAGTTCATATTTCTTTTTTATTTTTAAGTTTCATTTATTTATAATTATTTGGGGGAGGGCACATGTGGAGATCACAGGACAAGTTTTGGGAGTTGTTTTCTCCTTCCACCCTGTGGGTCCAAGAGATTGAACTTAGGTGCATTGTAAGACTTAGACGCTTAGCTCCATGTGCCTTACCCACTGAGCCATCTTACAGGCCCAGAAGTATCATTTCTAGCTATACTGCAGAGAAAGTCTAGACTCTATAGAGTCCTGTATATTGTTATACATACCTACATAACTCTGTCTACATTTGAAAAAACACAGAATTTCTCACATTTCTTTCAAATATAAAATATCTGCTGGTCACCACTTTCTAGGACCTGGCATGTCTCTGTGGACACCTCATTGAATCAGAGGTCTTTTTAAAAACAGCTTCAAATATCCCATGCTGGCCTTGAACTCACTATGTAGCTGAATATGAGCTTGAACTTCAGACCCTCCTGCCTTCATTTCCTAAATGCTGGGATTACAGGTATGTACCACCATGCCTGGTTTATGTAGTGCCGGGGATCAAACCCCAGGGCTTCGTGCATGCTGGATAAGTACTCTGCAACTGAGCTAGACTGAATGCTATGTTTGAACTTATAACTCCTGCAGTAGCAGTCTTCACTCCTGCAGGTCAAAGGCCAAGACTTTGATCGGCACATGCTGAGGATACTTAGGCAATGGAGTGGAAGCAGCTCCAGAAGTGACTTCATTGAAGAAACTTACATGTAACATGCTGAGAAAGCCCCTTTTCTGAATGCCTTCTACAAGGAGTCACTTGCTGAATAACTGTTGAACTGTGTCATCTTTTGGAAGCAGATAGCAAAAAGGTTTGGGGGAAACTGCAAACCCAAGACAGTTCTGAGTTTAATATCCACCTTTGCCCAAAGCACACTGAATGAGTGTAGCAGACCAGCAATCAGATGCCAGCTCAGGGAACAGACTTAGAGCAAGTGGCCTCATTAGTACCTAAGAGACCATGCATAGTACCATAATAAAGGCCTGGCAAGTGCTCAAAATTATATTAAAAAGTAAATTTCTTAGCCAATAATAAATTTTCAGAAGAAGTTTAAAGTAACTGAAACTTGAATATAGAACATTTGTAAGAAAATAATAAAAGTTGACTGTGTATGTATGGGCCTTTTAAGTATTATAAATAATGTTTGTAAGTAGCATTATCAAATGTAACTGACGTTGTCAACTGGCAAACACAGATAAGCACCTGGAACTACCAGTGTCTGAGAAGCCAGAGTTGATGACTTTGCGCTTCCTCCTGTGTACTCAGCCCTTTCATGGCATGCTAATGTACAACTTTGTAACACTTAATTCATGTTTTTTAGGCAGAGGCAGGAAGATTGGCCACGAGTTCAAGACCAGACTGGTTTACACAGTGAGTTCCAGGACAGACTGGTCTGTCTGCATAGGAAGTTCTAGGCCAGCCGGGCCTACATAGCAATACCCTTTCTCAAAAAAATTAAAAAATGACAAAAGTAAAAGGAAACAAAAACCACATTTACTTCATGCTTTTTAAATGTACCAAGTTTCTGATTGGGTTTTTTTTTTTTTTTCCATTTGTTATAAATTCATTTTAGGATGCA